AGTTGAAGAAAGATCGGATTACCATGTTTATTTGCCCAGTTAAAAATAAAACCTTGGTGAAGTCTAAAATAAAAATGCAAAAAATGTCACTATTAATGTAAATTTTACATTTATAGTAAAATAAAATATGTTATTACTTATGTAAATAAATATTATTTAAGAGCGCTTACTTTAAAGAATGCTCTTGCTACTATCCTTGATTGCTATATCCCTCTCCTTCAAATTTCTTCTGTTTGAATCATAGTAAACTCTTTTATTATTATTTCTCTAGCCACTCCACAGATTTTGAGGTTCATCGTAATTGGCTTGCAATCACGCACTCTCTTCCTATATCTAAGTGGTATATAGAAGTAGGCATTTTGACAGATTAACCTCGCATAGAGCACTTCTCAATGGACTTTAGATTACCCACCACTTTTTGCATGGTTCGAGTACTTTTTATCTTGGCTGGCAGTTATTTTTGATCCACAAATGCTCGTCGTGACAAACCTTAATTATAATTCGAGGCCTACAATTTACTTTCAGCGATTATCAGTCGTCACTTCTGAACTATTTTTATTTTACTCTCTTTTAAAGTAAGCTTTTCCTAATCTCAAGAAATTTAGGCTTTTCAATTATTCTTTATCGTCATTCCGAAGAAAGCTAAGAGTTTTGATGATGATGGTCTTCTATATTTTTAACTTTGGCCTCATGTTAGTTGATCGTATCCTTTGGGTGTTCCTTTTGCAAAACTGCTTATTTAATGCTACACTAGCTTTATACTCAATTTGTCGATCTATTATCCGATTATTTAGTACATTACTAGTGTTATTATCGCTTTCTTGACCGTCACAGATATGCATTTCCAGTATAATGGATTCCTTTTCGGCTTCTTATTTATGTCACTCTCATCTTTACTCCAGGTAATTGAATTTTAATATTATATGTTTAGCGTAACTTTATCCAAGGCTCCTTTTGGTTTATATTTCTAGTAAATACGAAGCATACATTCTTGTATATTGCTCCTGCATTCTTTGTTTTCATACTGTGCAACTACTGTATAAAAAATGAAGGTATCTTTCATGCTAAAATGTTCATCCTAGATGGAAAGATTACATTTAACTTCAAAAATTTGTTCAAAGTTATTTCTACTGTGTTAGCGGTCACAATGCTTTCGTTTGGACCCTTCATCTTTCTAGTTTGTTATCATAACTGTAATATTTCAGGGTCAATTTTCTCAACTCTTTGATCGCCTTTTTCCGTTTCGTCGTGGACTCAGTCATGCATACTGGGCACCTAATTTCTGGGCCCTTTATAATTCTCTAGACAAGTTCCTCGAGCTTCTATGTATTTGTCTAAAATAACTCTTTTAAATCCGCATATCAGAGTTATATATATCTAATCTTATAATTCTGCCTTTAGGTCACCACGGAACTCATAAAAAGGCCCGAATGACTGGAGGCCTCGTTCGAGAGTATGAGCATGCTATCTTACCAGGCATCAGACCGCTCCACACAGCTTGCATAACTCTGATGGTGATAATTGTGAGTTTTTGTTGTCTTAATTTATATCTTTAATTATTATATATATATGTCTATATAATATTTTTCAGCCTTATACTTTTCGTCTTGTATTCAAGAGCTGTGT